GCTAAAGCTTATAAAACTAGTAAGTGGGAATAAGATCTGAAACAGCTGGGGCTCTTTAGAGGGCACTAAAGACACAACTAGATATAACCACCTCATCTACGCTCTGCTTTTTCAGTCTGAAACCTACAGCAACAGACACAGCGGAGAAAAGCGTAAGCTACAAAAAGGCTAAATAAATAAATGTTTTGAAGAGAATGCGAGTGTGCTTACACATGCAAAACGTGCCAATGGCTGTACTAGGGCATTGTGGGAAGTTGCCAGTCGTCTAGTTGAATTCTAGATGGTTGTTTACTGGCCCAAGCCAAAAAAATATATATTCTAGTACATAGACATGGCTTGGGTTCGTCCATTTATTTTAAATCTGTGTGGTTTTATCCATTTTATCACCCACCGGTTAAAGGAAAAGTTCGGTATTTTACAATCAAAGCCCTGTTTTAAGATCGTTTCTGATGAAATAGAAAGGTTAAGATTGTTTTTTAGACAGAATTTTCAGATTCTGTGGTTGCACCACACCCACACCTTCACAATGGTTGCATAGGTGCACAGGAACAATCCTTTATAAAACACATAAAACTTTAGTTTGGTCTCACTGATATGCTCACACAAAAATTGCTGCAAAAGATGCTTTCCAACAGGTTTTATCGTAGTTTTTGTCCAACTCCATTGACTTGTATTGTATGTTCTGTGATGTACGGTATTACTCCGCCGCCGGAAATGGGGTTGTTTGTATTCTTTCTGTAGTCTAATGCAGTCGTGGTATCGTAGGCCATAGATATCCATAATAAAGGCTAGATGTCTCGTCCACGCTGCTGGCCAATGGAGGTCGACGTCCGTGCCTGGCGGCCATCTTGTCACAGGCAGCTCGCTCACTCGTAACATTGTGTTTTAATGGTGCATGTACTTTTTAAATAACCATAACTTGCTAAATTTTCTACCGATTTTCAAACGGTTTGGTTTGTTATAAACGTCAGGGATGTAGTTATGACACTGACTGCATACTTATGAATAATAAGTGTATAAAGAAATAATCATCCAGAATTATAGCCATGTTAATGACGTTCGTAAGAAACCAAACCGTTTGTAAATCAGTCAAGATTTCAACAAGATAAGAGTATTTGTGTTCGTGCTGACCACTCATCTTACATCAGCTTGCCTGTGACAAGATGGCCGCCGTAAGACATCTAGCCTTTATTGTGGATATCTATGTCATAGGCTACACTATACAAGTCATTTGCATGCAATTGGCAAAGGTCCATTATCGCCACCAACTGGTCTGGAGTGTCTATTATTCAAGCTCTCAACGGAAGAATGTACGGTAGTGAGGCGTTCGGAAAAATAGGTCTACAGTTTTACAGTTTAACGAATGGTAAAACGCCTGTTGGAAAGCATCTTTTGCAGCGATTTTTGGTGTCAGCATATCAGTGAACATCCCAGACCACGTCTTTGTAAACTAAAGTTTTATGCGTTTTATGAAGGATTGTTCCTGTGCAACGAATGCTACCATTGTAGAGGTGTGGGGGTGCAACCAAAGAATCCAAAAATTCTCAGGACAGCAGCTTTTTTGTATAAAAAAACAATCTTAACCATTCTATTTCATCAGAAACGATGTTAAAGCAGGGCTTTAATTGTAAAATACCCAACTTGTCCTTTAAAATTCCAATCATGAAGAAAAAGTAGCATGATGGTAGCACAAATTGAACGATTTAGGCGGAAATTTAGGCAGGTGTGATCCTAATTTTTATCTATTATTGTTATATGTCTTCGATAAAGTTTTGTCTATCCATTTATGGTGTTTTCTTTTGTTTGGGGGGTATTTTTGAATTTATTACTTCAAAAAGTACCATATTTTCTATGCAAATTATGCTTATTTTTATGTTTTATTTGTTTAATTTTTTTTAACAACATTAAAATATCATTCCAATAAGTTCATAGAGCTAAACCCTAAAGATGAAGTGACTTTGCTGTCACTTGGTGTCTTATTTTGGGTTATTTTAGAGTGCTCTAAATTACAGTTTTTCCCATTCATTTCTGTGGGTGCCCATTTTTGACCCAAATACAAGATTAAGAAGTTTTTGTTTTCACCCACTTAACATTGTAGAATTGAGTCAAAAAATTGTGTGTGTTCAGGAGGCAAACTTAGGAAAAGTAGCCAAGTCTTATACCGCTCAGATCAAGGGAAGTATTTTTTTTTAAATAAATCAAAACTATTTTGCCCACGTGTCCAGAATACGGTTTTAGGGTTAAAAAATTTCACGAAAAGGTTCTTTTTAGCAACCCAAAATGTTTCTTCGATGGCATCGCTGTGAAAACTCTCTTTGGAACGTTTATTTTTAAGAGTGAACAGAGGAGGCGGTTTGAAAAACCTCCAAGTATGAGGATGAGTAATAAGCAGCAGTGCTAATTAAGGTAACTAGTTTTACACAATGTAAAGAGGGGTTTTTAATAATACACTGAAACGGTTACAGAAGCAGTTTAAAAGGCTTTCAGAGAGTTATTTTACAGCACTGCCTCTTCCTCCATCTTGTCTTTGGAACCAGAGTTTCTCTCCAGAGCGCAGAGATATAAATCCAGAGCACGCTATAACCTGACCTCCATTTGGCTGCACTGGCATGCGTGTTTGCTCAGGTCTCGTGGCCCTGACACCTGTGGGAAGGTACACTCATAAAAATATAAATAAAAAAAGAGTTGGCCTGTTCACTCTTCGGCAAACAGATTCAGGACTAATTATGCAGCTTTATGATTTTTCATACTTCTGGTTGGGAGGTTGATACTGCATGCACAGTATCCAAACCTGTATTAGTTTGTTTTGCTCTACACAAACGAAGATATTGTGAAGAATGTTTGCAACCAAAAAGTAGCATTATTTACTTCCATTGTAATTTTTTCCAATACTTCCTTCAAAATATCTTGCTTTGTGTAGAATAAATGTACAGGTTTGGTACAACTTTAGGAGAAGTAAATGATGAATATTCATTATATTTGGGGTGACTATCTCTTTAATATGTTATTAAAGGGAATGAAAAGGGAAAAAAGTGAAATTGAGAAAATGCTAGCTTGGTGAGACTGACTTTGGTTAACCAAAACACAACCCTTCTATAATAAACAAAGGAACAGTTCACCAAAAAATAATTTATGTCATAATTTATGACAACTCTAGGTCAATCCAAACCACATCTTCAGTGGAAGACACTGTATGCTAAAGAGAAGTAAATTGTGTGTTAAATATATGTTTTTGTGTGTGTGTGTGTGTGTGTTTTATATCTGTCAAACGATTAATCGGGTTGCAAATAATGGGTGCACTGTGTATAATTATTTTGTGTGTATATATATATATATATATATATATATGTATATATACTATATATATATATATATATATATAAATACACACACATGCATGTACATTTAAGAAAAAAAATATTTTTTATATATAAAATATTTATATATAATATAAATTATATATAAATCTATATACAGTATATACATGAAAATATTTCTTAAATATATACAAGCATGTGTGTATTTATATATATAAAATAATTATACACAGTGCACCCACATATATTATGTAAACACAAACTTTTTTTGGATGCGATTAATCGCGATTAATCGTTTGACATCCCTAATATATACATGAAGAGTTCAGATGCAAAAGCCTCTAAGTGCCATTTGAAATTTTCTTCTAGAATGATGATTTTTATCAAGCTTGTATATTTAAGTTCAGTGATTTCACTTAAATGGCAATGATAATTACCTATTAATTGTTATTTAAGTGAAATTACTGAACTTAAATATACAAGTTTGATAAAAATCATCATTAAAGAAGAAAATTTCAAATGGCATTTAGAGGCTTTTGCATCTGAACTCTTCATATATATATATATATATATATATATATATATATACAAAAATAAAATATTTATACATACACAAAAATAATGTGTTGGCTCAACCAAAAAAAAAATGAATCAAGAGTTAGAGGAACTTAATAATTTGTAGCATGAACACAAATTTTTAAGTTACTCAAAGAATTAAATCGCTCCAACTACCAGAGTCATAGCCCTGGAACCAATTAATCTGATCTAATTCAGTTCAAATCAACAGCAATCATAGCGCATGCTAATGCTAACATAACTTATTATATGATATCAAGACAATTTCATGAAGCTATTACAACCTAATTAAAGACAAAAAGCCAATTAATGCAGAATTTGAGTTTAAATTACAGATGATATTAAGTTGATGTAATGAACAACGTTAATATGTCAACACAACAGAAATCTACAAAATAATGTTTGCAACTTAAAAGATTGAATTAAAACAATAATTAGCATTTTTAATGCATTGTGGTAACAGGTCCCCTGAATTACTTTTTAGAGTGTCTCATACACTGTAATGAATTGCTGTAAAAATTACAGCCATATTTTACAGCCGCTGGCTGTTTTCTAATAATACAGCATTTTGCTGTAAACTGCAATGCATTCTGGGGCCGCGTGGCGGTTTGATTCAAAATACAGAATATTGCTGTAAATTTCAAATCGACACAGAGGCATTGTGATCTTCAACGGTCGTGTCGTCGACTTTCGGATAGCGGAAAGAGGAGTGATTCTCAACTGGTAAGTGACTTATTTCAGTTTCTTATGTTTCATGTTGTGTTACTCGTAGACTATGAAGGTAATGTTATATTCGCGGTTCATATTGGTTACCGAGGATCACGCATCCTCCGTACGGGGCGCGAGGGAGACTTGCGCGGGGCTTCAGCAGCCCAGACGCGGGTAGTATTTCACACATTCCCCGGGATCTATGGGCTCCTTTGTTGAGAAGAATTACATGCTTTTGTGAGAACAGTCGGTATTCACACGAGCTTCGTGTTGATCAGCACACTTCGCCGTGATTATTTTATGGTGTAAATCAAATCAAAATCAAGTAATCTGTTAAAATGGGCGCCGAAATGAAAAAAAAAAAAAAAAAACAGATTATGAATGTTGCCGTGTCGTAACGTTATGTTTAATATTCCGGTGTGAAAATCCCTTATATTTCAGTACGAATATAAGCTATATATCCTATATATTTTAGCTATAACGTTAGCCTAAGTTACTCTCTGTGTGTAATTTGCTTATTTGTTTTCATACTTCCTTTGTTAATTTTATTTAAAAGAAAGAGTTCCTGCACTCTGAATACTAAAATATAGTTTACATATAAAATGCTGAAACATAAAAATGGTATAGTAAAAAATAAACTATTGTCACATGTGGTATTGTTTTAGGAGACACTTTGACAAGAGGACACTGGAAGGCCAAGTTGTGTGTGAGGAGAGCATTCAGCCCAGCTTCCTGTCTGGCCTTGCTACTGTTCACTGCATATTATTACATATTCAATCAGGAGGAGCCAGCCTGCACCTTGGAGTTCATTTAAAGGTAATTATTGCATTCTTAACAACCTCAGTACATTTTACACATGTACTCAATATCTGCCTTTTGATGTATTATCTATTGACTTAAAGGGATAGTTCACGTTGAAAGTAATTTTTGATATGTTTTAGCTTACCTCAAGGGCATCCAAGATCTAGGTGTCTTTGTTTTCACAGTATTTTTAATTTTGACATTTTTAGGTCGAACCATTCTTGTCTTCAGTCATATAATGGAGGTCTATGGTCACCACCTCAAAGAGCATGCACAGAGAAGTCCAAATTAAACATGATTTAATGACTCGTAAATGTAAGTACACATTGATGGCCTAAGACAAACGGAAGTGATCTCTCGCGCGTATACGTCACTCGTCTCGTACGTCATTCGTTTTCTCACACAAACCGCTCGTTTCGTGTCTTAGGCCATCAATGTGTACTTACATTTACGAGTCATTAAATCATGTTAAATTTGGACTTCTCTGTGCATGCTCTTTGAGGTGGTGACCATAGACCTCCATTATATGACTGAAGACAAGAATGGTTCGACTTAAAAATATCAAAATTGAAAATACTGTGGAAACAAAGACACCTACATCTTGGATGCCCTTGAGGTAAGATAAAACATTTTAAAAAATTAATTTCAAAGTGAATTATCCCTTTAATTAGTTAAATCAGGTGTTTTAATTTGTGGACATAGGGTTAGGGTTGGGAGGTCTTCCTGGGAGGTCCTCATGACTGGAGTTGAGAAACACTGCTCTAACAGATTTAAAAATCATGATTACAAGCATGAAAAACTTAAAACCAATCCTAATTACATATTGTCTGTTTTCTGACCCTTTATGTGCTTTGTAAGAGAGGAACAAAGAAGAAAATTGCCATCTAAAAGGACAGGGCAAATGGTACAGAAGAAACAGGTTGCAGTGAACCCACGTGTTGCCACTCTTCCCTGCAAAGTGGTGTGTTCAGTGGAATTTCTGAAATGTAAGTACACACACAAACACACACACAAATATCTATTTTTCCTTTAATTGTAACCTTTTAATATTCTTTATCGGACTAACTGTATCTGTCATCCCTCTGTCTGTCTCTGACTGTATCATTATGTTTTGTAATATATCTAATGTAATGTCCTTTTCAATATTTCTAGCCACTCTTTGCATCCTGTGATGGAACAGCATCTGGAGCTGAATTATTCTCCATTTTTGATCATACGTGTTTTGGACTCACTTGGGGCCTTGTTGTTTGGACATGTTTGTCTGGGAACGAAGAGGTGACAATTCATTCATGTCTGTTTTTTTTTTTGTTTTGTTTTTCAGAACCATTTTATTATGATCATGTTGGTCAACTTGTTGTTTTAAATGTCATTTGCGTATTTCTTCTTTGTGTGAAGGGCCCTGATGGCTTATTTGTTTTAAGTAATTAAAAAAAAAAATTTCATGTCTATATGTAAATAATAATAAAAAAATAAAAAAATATACAAAATACACTGTTTTATGCTTTTTTTCCATGCATATTTTAAAGTTATAAATTAAATAAATGTTGACCTGTTTTTAGGATGTTGAATAGTTTGTTTGTTTTGTGAAGTAATAGGGGAATTAAGTTGCGTGTTATACAACACTTACTGAATTTAAAAACAATTGTTTAAAGCTTATGCAGTTGATAAATAATTAACATTTAAAATTCAGCTGGCATTTTACATATTTCCCAGATATAGCGAATACAAAGATTCATGGAACTACTGTAAAAAATACAGTTATTTACTGTAATCAGAGAATACAGTAAAAATCTGTAAATTAAATTACAGAACTATACTGTAAAAAATACAGTAACTGGCTGGCAACCCTGCTGCCAGTATTTTACTGTAAAATTTACAGGAAAATTTTTTACAGTGTATAGTTTTTATAAACATTAGAGCTTAGTAAATGATGGAAAAATATAAATTTTTAGCTGGGCTTTTGCATTAAGGGCTTGCTCAAGACGCTCAATGCACAATTTGTCCAGTCGAAGAACAGAGAAGTTCTGCGCCGCAGCACCCAAGGGTCTGATCTGGTTTCTTCCGTTGAGCCCTTTGTGGGATTTTACCCGGTACATTCACAGCACTTCGAGTTCCAGAGCTGAAAATCGACAACTGTACAACAACTTCATTAAATGCTGATGGGGTGTGGCAATGGACGCATGCCAGAGGACAGAATTTGGGAGTAAAAATTACACTACGCCCTGTCCCGGCCCCTTAACAGACTGTGTGAAGCACACAGTGTAGTGTTTCTGAGTTCCTGACTTGCTAAGATAAGATGAACAAAATACCTAAACCCTGCAAGGTGCATTTTAGGAGCATGAGACATTGATCAAACCGATAATATCTGGCAACCGTACAATTCAGATGCATTCCAAAGGACTGCGACCACAGAGAAGACCAGTGAGGGACGGCAAGCACAATGCACAAAGTTTCTGAGATCCCAAGACAGGACTTGGCAACCAGAAGAGCCTCTAAGTGGGATAATATGGTTAACATTCCTTTGCATCCCCTTAAGAAATCCAATATGTGCATATCAATGCTTCTACCCGAGGCCTTACCTCTCAGATACAATGAAAGAAAACACTCACACTAGCCAGTTAGTGCAATTAGGTCTGGAAATCAAGATCTAAAAAACAAAAAAACAGGCACAGAATGGTTTATGTCTGCTGATGGGCAGTGAACATTGTATTACTGCTACTGAATCTACAGCATGTTGTAAAAACAAATTGTTGTCTGAACTGTATCATGCAAAATAATACAAAGCAATCTATTGCATACATTTGTTTGCATTGTAGACAGGGTGCAAACAAAGTACACATCAATTATAGTCTATCTGTTTTTCCAAATATTAAAATATTTACATGCTTAAAATCACTTTGATGACACTCTTCTGAAAATGTAATGCATCTACTCTTAAAAATAAATGTCGCAAATGGGGGTTGCAGCGTTACCATAGAAGAGCTATTTTGGGTTCCCCCAAAGAAGCCTTCAGTGAACGGTACTTAAATGTGCAGTAAGCGATTTTTGAAAGTTGAAAGTGGATTGGACCAAGCGCCACAACAAACTTGTAGCCAATCAATAGTAGGGGGGCGTGTCCACTCATAATGACGGTCGGAGACCATGAGAAAGAGGGAGATTTGAAGAAAGACTAGATAAAGAGATGGCTGACGTTACAAAAGAGTAAAGCTCAGAGGAACATCAATGGAAAATGTTCACACCAAGCACGATAACTATAAAGATATGATGGTAACACTTTATTTCGATAGTCCACTTTAGACATTCTACTAACTATAAGTAACTTTTCAACTACATGTCAACTTACTGTCATTATAGTATTAGTAGACTGTCAGCTTAATATCTTCTGACACTTTATTTTGTTGGTCCCCCAACAGACATTCAACTGACTATAAGTAACTTATTCTCCTAACCCACAGCCTAACTAACCATAACCTGACAGTCTACGATAATATACTACTACTCTAATGAGAGTTAATTGACATGTAGTTAAAAAGTTACTTATAGTTAGTAGAACGTCTAAAGTGACTATCGAAATAAAGTGTAACCGATATAATTCTAAAAATCGTTCTCATATTAAAGAATAACAGAGTTCACACAACAGCTATAATGATAAAGATATGAGGAACGATATCGTTGGGATCACTTTCAGAGCGATTTTTTTCCAGCTGTCCAACGATAAAACACTGACAACCAATCAGAATCGATTGTAATTTAAAGGTCTCGCGCATTTAAAATGGCAGATGGCAGTTTAAAACGGCAGTCAAACCCCCTTTTCAAGGATACGTTAAAAAAGATGGATATATGGAAAGCAATCGGTTGTATCCTGGGAATAAACGGTAAGAAGTATTCACAATGAGACATTGGGCAGTTTAGCATAGTGTTGCAAAATTACCTCAGGTAGGCTATCCAGCGCTAGTTGACAACTTTGCTGAAGTTGCAGTGAAAAAGGCGTTTTTCATCCCATCATTGACTTCGTCAGCTAAATCCACTGTTAGATATTACGCTAGACTTGCTAGATTCACTGTTTAGATGCGCACCCAACTCCTCTCGTCTTTTAAGGATATCGTGTACCCAAAAGTGCCTGTTTTTCTTTTGATATTTGTTTATAACGTAAAGCAGCAGCAGCAGTCGTCTATTTTCGCTACTTTGAAACCGCAGCGCGGGCGCGCGTGCTAAAGACCGTTGTCGGTCGTTGGTGTGGACGCATATAGTTATCGTACTTAGTGTGAACGGGCCTTTCTGATCAGGCAAGAAAACAATGACTGTACCATTAAAAGCGGACATTTTAACAATCCAATGAACCTTTTTCTACTACAATCTTAAAAATAAAGGATCTTAATTAGTAGGGCTGGGTAATAAATATCGATTTCTCGATATTAATCGATTCTCATTTTAACGAACCGATATCGATTCTTAAATCTCAAGAATCGATTAGTCATCCTGTTTCATTTGAATGAATGGGACATTGTATCGCAGCTGCGCGCATCCAAAAAAAAAAAAAAAAAAAAAAAAAAAAAAAAAAATCGCAATAATCTTTGTCCTTTGTTACTATTGATATTTACAAAAGCTCAATTTTCAAATTACATCCATTTTGGCGCTGTGGCGTGAGATCGCTCTGGTTCAGCTCAAGAGAAGCAGCAGCACTGATCTCTCTTCCGGGTTAATAATACCAGTTACCGCGCGAAATAAACATGAACGAGCGTCTGAAAGTTTGTTAAACGATAGAGTACAACTTATCGAAATCCGTATCATGTCACATTGATTTGCTCAATCAGCGTTTCAACCGTGGAAAGACGTCAGTTAAACAGCTTGTAATCAATGTCATGTATCGTCATATTTACCTCAGAAAACCCACATAAACTCATTAGTCAGCTAGAAAAAATAAATCCAGAGAGGAGCATTTTGCTAATATTACGCATTATAATCTTAATGTTCTTCAATATTTAATGCATATTTGAATAAATCTGGCAAGTTATGACGGCCACCATTTAAATGTTTATATTTCACATAATCTTCTTATTATAAAAATAAATAAAAGTGTAATTTAAGTGTTTGTATAGCTACAAAACAGTTCATTATTACCTTCATATTAGGCTAATGAAGCCTAGTAGGCTACAACTAGACTCCTATAGTTTACAGCATTAGTTAAGAGATTTGATTCCCTTGAGAAAAATTGCGATTTATTGTAACTGATATCCAAAATAATCGATATTGATATATATGGTATATATGTGATGGTATATATGTGAATGTGATGATATATATAGAAGCGATGGTATATATGTGAATTTTCTAGAAATGTTGAATTCACACTTACTTGCAGCTTACACATATTTAATAGCAAAATCCCAGTGAAAAACAAAAGTAGCTACTCATAGTCCATCAATCAAAGTAGCCGTTACAATGCATATTGGGAAAATTCAACCAAAAACCTGAGTTTATTTCGCAATGAACTTGTTGACAAAAATCCAAGTGTTTTATTTATAATGAATGACCTTTGGTCAATAGGTTTATATTATTACACCCGTCAGTGACTTCTTTCTGTTTTTCTTTCTTTCTTTTACTTCATCTCGATTAAGTTCGTTGGTTTGGTTCATGGCCTGAGGACTTGATCTTTTTAAATCCCTAAGGATAAAGATACTTCCGAAAACAAGGCCACTGAAAAAGCATCCGGTCACCGTCTCAATTGTTGGTTACTGCATATCCTAAACCCAAGTGAATTATCGGGTCATTTTATTCCATGCATTTTCTGCAAGTAAAGCCCCAAGCTGTGTAATTTGATCATCCCTGCCATAGAGTTACGACTGCTTCCAATGGAGGAGATAAGGACAACATGTTAACATAATAAAAGTAAAAAGGTGGCCTCCAAAAGCTCTTTATGGTAAACTAGCACCGTTCCCATGCTAATGCTTGGGTTCACTATCTGACGTCGGACGCAGAATTACTCGAACATCTTTTACTGATCCCAGAACATCCCTCCACCAATGATCTCTTTCTGTTACGAAACGCTCACGAATCAACTGATCCGACGCCAACTGTAATGAGCTGATGACATCATCACGAGCTCCTCAGCGAATTATAAAATGCACATAAAACTCTGCTCCTTGACGGCCGACTCAAAGACTAACGATAAGTAATATCAAGCGCTGCCAGATATTGAGCTCATTTAGTAATTCTCTGAGAGTGCGCGAGCAGACGCTGCAAAAGTGCTAACCCGAACATGACCCAGTTCCTTAGACTGAGCCTGCATTCAATGCCAAGATCACGATTACATCCCTGCCAAAACATTTCGAGCAAGCCTTTAAATACTGCCCCTCTCTCTTTCCTGTGGTGGGCGGCATTGAAAGGCTGGCATAACTCAGAGGACTGACTGTGCTCTG